CCGATACTAAGCATTTGACCTGTATTGTGGATAGTAAGGTATGCATTCTTATAGGAGGACAGACTGCTTGTAGGGACTGTCGAAGTTAAGCGCATAGAAGTCCTCATTTGCTGTTTACCCTAAATTTATTGCTCGTTCGACACCATGACCACTAAGGAGACCAGCAGGGGTTATAAAGCATGATGAATGCACGTAGCCAAATAAAACCTTGGATGAGTATCGCCAGAACCTCGCCATGGTCAAGTAGACTGGAACGCAGAATCAACAGTTGGTATCTGATGTTAAACGAGAAGATTTTCTCGATAAAAGCGAGAGGAGAGATGAGCAGGCCTTTCTTTAGATCGGCAGACCCGTGCCCTCCTTAACACGTGGATGGCAACTTTTTGTATATTTTATAAGTTACCAATTCGGTAAGGTCCATAATACATTTTCTTCCACCCAATGATAGATGAGGTGGATGCCAGTCGCGTTCCCTTCTGGGATAAGGTCCCAGTTGATCCGAGTTTTGAGGAGATGCGACAGGTGGTACTGTTACAAAAAATTCGCCCTCCAATTTCTGCCAGGTGGATGGATGACAAGGTAAGTCACGACAGGTATCTCTGTAAGTTCACCGCCAAACGTACTTAGGATTATCAAGTTCTTAGACCATAACCGCGTTGATTTTCAATAACACAGAAGAAGCACTGGGATGTCATTAACACCTGATGAATTAAGCGTCCTTGACGAAAGTGTGGCTTCATATGATCATTTCTACACGTATTTAGATGCTTAATCTTTAAAGGTTTGTACCGTGAGTTTATATGAGTCTAAGCTATTACTATGCAGTCATATTCCCAAGATCATTTCGAATTAGCAACAGGTATCACTATCAGTATACGCAAAGAGACAAGGAAATACATTATGTTTGTGTGTATGCTCGTCAAGTATAGCAATTCGGGACATCTACATGTCTCCAAAACCTTGTAACTAACACAAGTTCCTCGGTAGTGGCCTTGTCTCGGCATACTTCAACATGCAAATATTTCAGGAGACTAGTTTAGAGAGCGTACGTATACTTTCGATAAATTCTCGTCAGGCCAGTACATTTATATGAGACTGGTTCCCTAGACTGGCTCCACCAAGTCCTCCCCGCGTAACCATCCTTCTCTTGTCGGCCCCTTCTCCCGATTCCCACGACTCGCTTGTAAGAAAAGACGAACATTATAGACCGCTTGTTTAAAATTTACCCCCTCCCATATAAATGTATTGGCCTGACGATAATTTATCGAACGTATACGTACGCTCGCCAAACTAGTTTACTGAATGCTCTGATGGGAATTTTCGCAACTCTAAAACAATGCACATATTTATAAATAAGTGGATGTTTACTAACCCTACAAGCATTCTAGGTAAGGATGACCATCTAAACGGGACTCGTGGATAGGAACATCCCACCCACTTAAAATAGTAGGCTTTGCGATACATTTCAGAAGGGGGTAAACACTCTCGTGTCTTAAGCATAACATTAACCCTAAAATGAAACTAAACTGCAACCTTAATCTGGACCAAAATCCCTCCCTTAAACCACACCTTACAATTACTACGAGCCCAAACATCAACCCATATCATGGTCGTTACGCTAACCCCAACCCCACCCTTAAACCTAATTTCCTGGAATTTGATGTAAAGTTGCATATATTGTAGGCGGGTCATATTTCCATGTCCCGTAGAAGCGGCTACAAAATTCATCCTTATCGTACCCTCTTTTATAGGCTCTCATTTACTTCTTCTTCCCTCTTCCTACCTAAGATCTTGAGCCGCTGTGCCCGACTAATGCAGGAGTGCTGGCATTCGATTCCTGCTGT